TGTCACACAAAACAAAACGCCTTGGTATGAATTTGTGAAATGACATTCCATATTACCTGTAAAAAAGAAATTTGTGTGACCCATGGGGTGGGGAGAGATGTTTTAAAAACATTTTCCATTTTCTGTTGATTTGTGAAGAACACAAAATTAAAAATTTTAATGTTATCTCTTCGGTAATATTTTATGAAAATCCACGTAATTAGCAATAAAAATATTAAAATTCATCGAATATGTTAACTTTTGAAAATTAGCTTGGAGGTAGGCGGGAGAACAATACAACCGTTTGCAGTTCTATTGATCTACATGTATTAATCAAGAGGTGAAATATCAAGGTCATAGTTAAATTTAAAAAAAAATAATTTTGTTACTTTTGTTTCAAATTTTCGTTTCCATGCTCAAGAGGCCTTTGGGATTTATCAATGGCATTTTTACCAGAACTCCCTATGGCCTGAGAAAGATTCCTATTTATATTGAGGTTAAAGGGTCTATAGTCAGGGAAGAAAATGCATACATTCTGTGTCCGTAAAACTTTCGCTTCAGGGTGATATCCCAAGAAGCTTCTGAAGTTTTATACTATCACTCCCTATGACCCCCCTTCCCCTCCTGCACATTCTTAAAGTGCACCTCTTGACCCCCCTTCCCATCATTCTCTTCTATTTTGCCTTAAAGGGGGACAAAGATTCTATTAATTAGCTTGTTATCACACTAATATGTCTAGTTTTCCGCTAATACCCGGTCAACAGATATGCCTACTTCTCATCGGCACCTGGTTCTCCTCTGATGTTTTGGGGGACTGCTCTGCTCATAGTTTGTACTTACCTAGAGCTTGGATAATGTTTTGTTATCTCTATATCTTTTAGAATGACAACCTTTGTTTAAATAAAGATTTTATCTGAGCTGAAATATTGTTTTATAATTTAAAAAAATTAAGAAGTTAGAACCATACAATAATATAATTACTGCATTTTGTTTGCTGTTTACACCTTCTTTTTAAAGTGTTTTAAAGAAGAAACATCAGAAACAGTTTCAAAGTTCATGTAGTTCTTTTCTATATTAAATGAACACTAAATGCATGTAAGTTAAGAAAATAATTAATATTTTTTATGTATTTTCGTCCTAGAAATGAAGTGCTAAATATGAACAGATGTATAACAAGGCTTAAAATGAGTGTTAAACAAGCAAACTATCACATTTGCGAGCATTCACTTATATTTATTATCGTTTAATTTCCTCAAACATTTAATTTATCAATAAAAAAATGCAGATTACAGAAAAGAAGCATATAAATCAGGAATACATGTCATTCTTATATTACATCATGCAGTAATACTACTTCTGAATAACCTTTAATTTTCATTTTATAGAAGTTTCTGTACCATATAGTTGACTTCTGTGCTATTTTTATCTATCTAGCTCATTATAATTGTATTCATGTTATTTTATGTCCAAAACAAATTTTAGATATGTGATTTAATATCGTGCGCAATAACAGTGAAACTTCCTATAAATACTTTAAATTGAATATAAATCTAAGTATATACCTAAGATATCTTTTTATTAACTAAACAACGATCTTACGAGTAGATGAATGTGGCAAAAGTGGAAATATTTCTTATTTTGGCAGTTCTTTGTTTTATTTGGGTAAGTATTTACATTATTTTATTTATCGTTTTAAAGATTTTTTTCTCATCACGTGGGTTTGTAAAGGCAGCACACGTATCAAAATTAGGCGAATTAACACTTTTTTAATAGTATGTGACACTAATAAATCGGAAAAGGCATGGATAAAACTTTTGCTAGCATTATGCATTCTATAGACTTCAATGAGACTTATACTACAGGAAGCACTTCAACACGACGTCACCACGTGACGTCTTTAATTAGAAAAAATGCCTTAATTGAAAAAGTAAAAAGTTCAACACTACCCCGGGGATAATTAATTTCAATTTTTAAATTGTTATGTAAAAACATCTCTTCTTTGTACCATTAAAATTGCTGCTAGAATCCTCTGTCCTATCACAGAAATAATTATTCAACACTTTTGGGCGAAACCGTCTCAAAAATTTTACATTTTGTTCATAAGATCGAAAAAAAAAACATGCATCAATCCCCGTTAACCATACGATTCTAGCAGCATTTTTCAAAAAGCAATGGAATAAGAACTTTAGACATAAACAAAAATCAAGTTTCAAAGTATGCGGCGAAGTGTTAAACTTTTGCATTTTTTTTGCAAAAATATTTATCAATCTCGTATTTACGAACAATTTTAAAGGTTATAATAAACAGTTTTCTATTCAAAGAAAAAAAACTCATTGCGATATCAGTACGTATTAATGACAAAATAAAATAGGTACCGTATTCTCGATGATCAGTTTATTCACTTAACAGAACAATGTGTTTTTTCAGAAGAAAATACTTCTCTATTTACAATATACAGTGAATTTAGTAGCAGAACGTGGCTTTCCACAAACGAGTGAAAAATTCACCTTGAGTTGAACGG